TATTTATTTATTTATTATGTATATAATATTCTGTCTACATGTATGCCTGCAGGCCAGAAAAGGGCGCCAGACCTCATTACAGATGGTTGTGAGCCACCATGTGGTTGCTGGGAATTGAACTCAGGACCTTTGGAAGAGCAGGCAATGCTCTTAACCACTGAGCCATCTCTCCAGCCCCTCAAGTTTTCTATCCACTATCTTTCATCATCGTCACATGACCATCCTGAGCTCAGATCATTCTAACTATTCTATTTACTGTGGGTTTTTTGCTTGTTTGTTTGTTTCTGAGATTTAGACAGTAGAACCAGGTATCCATTATTCCAGATGTAGATGGTTGCCAGAAGAAGTTAAAATGTCTTCAGCTTGCTCCACACTTATAGATATACTAACAATATTTGAGACTTCTTGGTCACAGAACAAGAGTATCTTCTAGAAAGTAAACTGTTCCTGGGTTTTCTTTTGTTTTTTGCGTGCTCAGAACCTAGAGCTTTGACTGAACCATAACCCCAACCCTTTGGATTTTGTAAACTGGGGGGCGCGGATGTTGTGTCTAGTCCAGGCCAGCCTAAGACTCAAGATCCTCCTAAGTGTCTCTGCCTCCCAAGAGCTGGGATCATGGCATGTGTCACCACGCTCCCCCTCGCTTCGGTTGTTTAGATGCCAACGGACACGTCATATGAATATACTGCACGCCTCAGCCCTCATTCTCGTCCCTCGGCACACTCACACTCTCCAGGGGCCATATGGTCCTCTCACGGAAAGGAGGGATGATTAACTGGTGCTAACAAGCCTTGCAGGCCCCTTAGAAACCTCTGCCCCTCGCTCACAGTGAGGCAGCGTACCACAGAACTTCAGGAATAGTGTGATCTAGTGGAGGGTTGTCTTCCCACCCCACTCCCCCAGGAACTTAACTGACCAAAGATTATTGATCCAAGACACTGAAATAAAAAGATTACAAGGAAAACATTTTTTTTTTTACCTGTTTGGCCAAATACGGAACAAATCAAGCTGATGAATCCAATCCAGAAAACCAGTTGCAAATTCATCTACAACAGAAAGTGTGTATCATTACTGAGAGAAAATATCAGGTGAATTGTGTTCAACCTTCCCTTCTTTCTCCTCTCCAAACGTCTCCACACTGCCATTTGCCTTCGTCCCTGCTCACCATACCATTCACCCTACTCTTCTAACACTTCACACCACACTTTCAGAATGTGTTCCTGTCTTCTCCATGAAATGTCTCAGTATTCAATTAAATATCACAAAATTGCACATCAAGCCAGGCAGCGGTGGCACAGGCCTTTAATCCCAGCACTTGGGAGGCAGAGACAGGTAGATCTCTATGAATTCGTGGCTAGCCTGTCTACAGAGCTAATTCCAGGACAAGCAGGGCTACGCGAAGAAACCCCATCTTGAAGGAAAATAGTAATAATAATAATAATAAATGCACATGCAGTCCTAAGACCACAACGCTATGGCAGTTTATCCTGCAGAATGTCCCTAGGGCTCTCAGTCCAACAGGCACACCCAGACACGCAGTCACCTCGGAACTAGGGCACTTCCCAGAGCTGAATCGGCCATCTCCACACTGACATCTCTACAGTTCTTACTTCTCCTCAGGCTAAAACACAGCTTCATATGCAAGACTCTGACTCAACTGTTTGGTTTGCTTTCTTGTTATATTTTTCTTTTGCAAGAAAACCAACTATGCATGGAATGGTAAAATAGTCAGCTTGTTTCCCTCAGCTTTCCGTAACAACAAATGACCTCACTATAGACCCAGAGTCTGTAGTGCCCTTCAGAATCTCGGGGTGGGGGTGGGGCAGCTCAGGTAATATTCTCTATATTAAACAGGCAACTTCTAATTATACCTCTATTTCTATTGAACCAATGTTTTCAGTTCTACGATTTATCCCTAATCAAGTATGGCTCAAAGATGGCTGAGCTCAGACTGCTCGGCTAACACCTTAACTGCCCACTCTCCGTGGACACCTCCAGTCTACTACACATGTGCATGCATCTGTGTTACCTACAGAATGAAAGGGGAGCAAGGAATGTTAGCATGGGACTAATTCCAGAATTGAAGAGGGAGAAACAAAAAGATTACCATGAGTTCAAGGCCAGTCTGGTTCACACAGTAAAATCATGGTTTTGAGAGACAGAAAAAGAGACACCAGGAAGGTAGAAGCAGGAGCATCAGAAGTACAAGGTCATCACCCTTCCTTACTTAGCAAGTTCAAGACCTTGTCTAAAAAGGAAAAGTTCTCTAACTTCCACATTAAAGCTCTTCATCTTCAAGCCCTTATATTTCACACAACACAGTAGAGACAGGAATATTACTGCTCCATGAGACGTGGTCCTAACCCTGGGTGAACACTGCTGCTCCTCTGCTCAGGCAGACTTCCCAGAGACACCCGCAATCAGGCTAACTCCAGGAAATGAGTCGCTCCTGGAGCTGACAGTTACGCAAACGGCTTGGGACTGCATCCAAGTACTGACTAAAACCTGAGTGTCAAAAAAGCACGGTGTTCTCATGTTTCTCTAAGGTCAACGCAATCCTCAACAGTGACGGAGAGCAGAAAACACGTCACTCCTGCAGAAGTGGATGACCACAGCACCTGTATTAGGGTAATGTATTCCTTCAGGCTACTTCATACTTGCTGACCAGCCTTAAGAAATCTTTCAAAATACCACACAAGTCAGAGAGGCACGCTGTGATCCAATGAAGGATGCTTTCCAGCATGTTGCACTTTAAAGCATTCCTGTAAGTTCCACAGCCCTCTACTTCTACAAATCCTGGTAGTTCAAAGACCTCTGGAAGTGTGCCAAGCCCAGAAGCAAGCAAAACAATGCTCAAATGCTCGAGAACAGCTGAGAGAACAAGGATAGCTCTGGACACAGTTTGGAGACAGTTATCAACTCTCCTGTAAGCTAGCAAGAAACAGAGGCGCTGTTGTTGCTTGGTGGCGTTCATAAAGACTGGGTTTTAGAGAATCCAGCAGGGCTCTAGGAACAATGATAGTAACTAGAAAGAGCAAGTGCCAGGCTGGAGAGATGGATCAGCTGAGGTTCTGAGTTCAATTCCCAATAACCAGGTGGTGGTTCACAACCATTAGTAATGAGATCTGGTGCCCCCTTCTGGCCTGCAGGCATACATGCAGGAGAAACACTGAATACATAATAAATAAATAAATATTTGAAAGAAAGAAAGAAAGAAAAGAAAGAAAGAAAGGAAGAAAAAGAAAGGAAGGAAGGAAGGAAGGAAGGAAGGAAGGAAGGAAGGAAGGAAGGAAGGACGGACGGACAAACTGAGCGGGGGTGGCGCACACCTTTAATCCCAGCACCCAGGAGGCAGAGGCAGATGGATCTCTGTGAGTTTGAGGCCAACCTGGTCTACAGAATGAGTTCCAGGACAGGCACCAAAAAAAAAAAAAAAAAAAAAAAAAAGGGAGGGGGAGAGGAAGGGGAAGGGAGAAAAGAAAGAACACAAACGACCGGGAGCGTGAGACTGAGACCACACTGAGAGTGACCCTGAGGGAGTCAGCACAACCGGCATCTGGACCAAGTGAGGCAGAGTGGGGGAGGCTTGAGACAGACTGTGTCAGAGTTCACGCAGATGTCCTCCTTCCCAGGCCTAAAGCCATGAGCTTGGAGTAGCAAGGCCTGTTCAGCAGGTGACCCTTATGTTGAGGAAGGAAGCTTACAGGTTCCCTATCAATGGTATCTCACTGAAGACAAATCATCAGAGAAAACGCCATGAGACATGGTCCTAACCCTTTGTCTGCTTTTCTCTTAGACAACGGTTTTTACCTGGCCTGGTCTACATTTCGTCTCCTGAAACTACTGCAGCTGACAAATAGATACTCCTGACCACACAGGGACTAATCCTGGGAAGGACATCGTCTCAGGCCCCGTTCACTTACAAACTCCTTGACTACGTGGTAAACCCTTCCCCAGACTGCTTTGGGTTGGTGCTCTATCACAGCAACAGAAAGGACACTGCCCATGTCCTTTGCTCTCTTCATCTCTGAGGGTCCTTCTTCAGACAGCCACGTCAGTTTTGTGTCCTCCCTATAATACAAATGCCTCAAGGAACTAACAGTTCATAGACAAAAATGCAGATAATTACCACACAGTAACCATTTCTGTGCAGAGGGTGCATGTGGCTAATGTCTCCAGAAAGAAGCTGCAATGCAAACTGAAGCTTCTGTGACAATGCTTACAACTTCAACACCCGTGGAGAATGAAATGCTGTAAATTATCCTGAGCCTTCTTCCCTCTTAATAGTCATTTACTGCCCATTATTCTACTGAGGTTTCTATTGCTGGGTTAAAGACCATGGCCAAAGGAAACTTAAGAAGAGAAGGGCAGGAAAGACAGGAACGGAAGCAGAGACCACGGAAGACTGCCGCTCTCTGGCTTGCTCTTTATAGCTTGCTCAGTTTGATTTCTTACACCACACGAGCAGCTACCCAGGAGTGGCACCCCACACACAGTGGGCTAGGCCCACCCACAACAATCACTAATCAAGAAAATGCCTCCCACATGGGGAACAATCTGATGGGAGCATCCATCCAATCAAAATTCCCTGTAGGTTTATCTAGGTTCGTGTCGAACTGAAAAAAAGCCAACCAGTACAGCCTCCTCTATACAATACCTATCAGTCAGCTTTGTGACCATTAGGTTAATCCTTCCAAATGGAGAAAGAAAGCACTAATAATCTTTTAGATACTTACTTAGCAGTCTACTTCAGTCAATGCAAAGTTAAGAGTGTCACCATGTATTCCTCTATTCTGGGCTTAAGGTTTCTCTAATGTCTCAACCACTGTACTTTGGAAGTATCTTAATTTATGGTTTTCTTTGTTCTGTTACATAAAACTATTGTCACACTGGAAAACGGAATCTAGGATCGCCTAAATCTGTGTTCTCAGGTCATGGTAACTGTTATCTGATTGCAGAATACCCTATCCCTTTTGAGAAGAAAGCTGTGTTTTACATCAGCACAAAGCACACCTAACTGTCTAACTATGTGGAGACAGCAGGGTAGCAGTTAGAATGGAAGGCTATGTGCAGAAGACAGCGGAGAGAAGCCACCTCAGCAAGCCTGCACATGCGAGGCTGGGGGAGGCCATACAATCTTTTTCTAATATTGTGTCTAAGCACATATTTTGAGGTGTCTCCCTCACACTGGATTGTCACTTTCTCTCCATGAATTTATGGTTTTGTTGTTACATGTTGTTGGCAAGACTATTTTATCTTTAAAAGTTGTCTGAGTTACAGTCTCTATTGCTGTGAAGAGACACTATGACCACAGCAACTCCTATAAAGGGAGGATTTAACTGGGACTTGCTTAGAGGTTTAGAGTTCAATCCATTTAGTCATCATGGTGGGAGCAGTGACACACAGACAGACGTGGTGCTGAAGAGGCAGTGAGAGTTCTACATCTGGACCAGCAGGCAGGAAGAGAATGACACTGGGCCTGGCTTGAGCACTTGAAACCTCAAAGCCCACCCCGGCCGGACACAAGCAGCAGTGAAAGTAAGTCATACAGAAGGAAAGGAGGGTAAAGGTCCTGAGGTAAAACAGGTGAGTTTACGTCGTAAGAGCTGTGGACAAGCAGGAGCCAAGGCTGAGCGTTCATAACTAATAGTAAGTCTCCGGGTCATGATCTGAGAACTGGCTGGAGGCCCAGAAGAAAGCCTCTACAAGGCTGGGGCTGGAGATCCATCAGGGATCACTATCCAGGTGACTGAAACGATGATGACATGAAAGCCCGGGAACAAGAGAGCTGAGGCCGCCATGAAATGGCAAAGACATGGAAAGGGAAGACATATGGAGCAGGGCAGTCACCCAGACCATCAGGAATGTACCACCCTGCATATGCGCACAGCTTTTCACCACAGCAGAGATACTGCCCCCATCAATTCTTCTCAAGTAGGAAACCAGGACAAGAGAGGACAGAGGAAATGGGCAATAGCATTACAGAGCGGAGCTGTGGGCCCAGCATCCACTGCACACCCAACTTATAAAGTCCCGTTCTAACATT